GGTTCATCTTGTAGGTATCTAGCTTGTGTAAATGCATCAGATATATACATACCTATATTCAACGGCCTCCTCTTGGCCAGCAACGGGTGTCGATTGGTTCATCCCCGGCTCGGCTCATCATATCCATTCAAACGGCCCCCAAGCTCTATCCCAAACAAAGCCTGTGCGTCCTGCACAATTTTGAAACATCGAAACAGCGTCATTGGCTGTGTGCAGCATAAGACGAACGAAACACGGCCAATTCCGAGCGCATGAGACAGCAGAAAGCAGCAGATCCTCCAACAACGAGGCTGCGGACATGCCCCGATATTGTAGCCATCCACCAGGATTCGCCGCAGAGCACAGGGGATAGACAATAGACACGTACGTATCTTGGTGGATGATGCTCGTTGTCTCTCTCTGATCCCCCCTTGATGGCTGCGGCTTGACGCAACTCTCCAGTTTTGGACCTGACAGCCCGGCTGCGCGTTCCGCATTGCTGCTCATTTACGCGAAAGCGAGCGAATGCTGGCGCCCCCGTGCCTCGTACCCACCTCTTACAGTATTTCACCTTACCGGCACAGCACAATTGCCTGCGCCTGCACCCAGTGATTTCCTCCGTAATATATACGTTTACAGTAACAGCTGCTGGCCAGACGGTTTACATACGTTACGTTGCCTGGACGGGGACCCTGGAAATCACTCTCTCCCGACTGCTTACCTATTCCGTCCTCCGTAACTTTGCTGCACTGTCCTGCCCTGCACAAATCCATACCCGACCTGCTCCAAACACCAACCGGCTTTCTGCTCTCTGTACTTTGCATCACCACTTCCACTCTTTTTCTCATTTCCCTTCATTTCTGCCATCTGAAACCCCGACCGGCTGCCTTACAGACCGAACTGGACCGCTGATGCGAACCGCCGCTGGCAGCCTCGCATCCCACCCGCCCCTCGCTAGATGATTCACCAGGCACGAGGACCTTGACCACCAGCTTCTGCCGGCATACCGTCCACTCCTCGCCACGCCATGCCGAGTCGCGCCGCCTCCGTGTCCAAGCAGGCGCAGACCCTGGGCAGGACGGCCACCATCCGCAGCGTCCCCAGCTTCGAGGGCTCCGAGACGAGCCCCGAGAGCAACCACGCCAGCGGGCTCTCCAGCAGCGTCACCAGCAAGGCCAGCAATCTGTCCACCGTCGACGAGGCCGAGACGGCGAAACCCAGCCCCGACAGCACGGCGAGCGAGCCGGTCGAGCGTGCCCACGACGGTAGCGGGAACAACGGCGCCGTTAGCAATGGCAACAGTGCCGCCGCCGCCGACGCCGAGCCTGCGATGGCCGACCCGGCGCTATCGTCAGCGGTGCCCCTGGACGACCACGGCGACGACCATGGCGACGGCGCCCAGTGGGACTCGACCATTGGCAAGGCCGGGCTGGGCAAGACGGGGCGGGTCATCAACAAGCTCGTCAGCGACAACGAGGCCCTGAAGCGCGAGATCAAGAT